TATGTTATACACTGCTCCGTGCATTTTATGTTTAACTCATTTTTAACATGTAACTAGACGCAAATTCGTCAATAACGAACCCTTGATCACGCGAATGCTGTCCGAGTAGTTACGGAAGTCGTCCTAGAAAGCAAGGCCTTCTGTTTTATGTTTAGGTTAAGAAATAGTTCTTCATTTAATTGTTTACCACTTTTGCTACTGCTTTTCAGTAGGAATCTTATCTTAACGTGATTAGAAATTCCCAGTGAATAACTTGAATGTAAATTTCAAAGCGGAAGTTGAGGGGTGAGTCCGTAACCTGCCCGTACCTTGATCTGATATCCCGCAGTTTTGCAGGGATCGTTTTCTCCGTTTCTGATTGGCAAAGTTTCTTCCTCGCTTTGCAATTGGCCAATTACTTACTTATACCGATTGCTTAACACTTTGCAATGTGTACCTTTGTGATGATACAAAGAAAATTTGCTTTCACTTTCAAAAGGTAGAGGCTATGTGTGATTCATGTGTCGACCATAATCTTTTAAGCTGACATGTTGTAGAAAGGACGCACGAAAGGGTAAATTGTAGCGGGTGTAACCTCGATTAACGATTTCAAAAGGAAAGATTGTAGCTTCTTTGTCGATTGGCCGCGAAGGTCTACACACCGTTACGCCTCTTTTTGATGATATTTACTAAGTATAATATTTCATATATGATTCTTTACAGACGATTCGTTTCAAATAAGGGACGGACCATTAGAAAACTTATGGGGGGGGGGCGGGCGAAGTACAAAAAAAAAATTCGCGCAAGGGAAAATTAAATGAAAAAAAATTCATGCACGCCAATTAACCCTAAAAAATATTCATGCAATGGCTTAAATAAAATTCATGCAAAGAATTTGATAACGAAAAAAAATTCTTGCAGCTCGAAAATTCCCCTCCCCCCCATAACTTTTCTAATGGTCCGTCCCTAACAGAGGTCAATTACTTCATATTTCGTAGTCTGAAATATCATACGTGTCCACCCGTACTTCCTAACCCGTGGGGTTCGCGGGGAAGAGAGACGTTCGAATTCCGAGCGTTTTATGCCGTCTGGTGACGTCACCTACTAATTTATGCATTTTTGCGTAATAAAATTTTGCTTTGTACGTACGTACGGTAGCCTTGAACCCGGTAATTCGAACTCTACAGGGAAACGAAAAACAGTTCGAGTTAGCGGGGAATTCGAGTTATCGGGGAAAATTTCAGTGAAATTTTGATCAACGAAAGGAAATTTAGTTCGAGTTCTCGACGAGCACTAGTTGTCCGAGTTCGAGTTATCGGGGGTCTGCTGTATGTAATACACGGAACAGCTTAGTTTTATACTGGAGCCCAGGCTTTTAATGATTTGCCACCCCATCAGAAGGAAGTTGACTCCATAGTGATTTTTAAAACACTTCTTAATGACATTATTTTTTAGAGTTCTTGTAAATATTTTGGAGTTTTTTTGGCGTCTCAATTTACGTAGATATATAATTCTTAGTTTTTATCCATCGACATTGTACATCAGTTTTTACATTTTTCTGATAGTTGTTCTGTTATAGTTATTTTTCCTTTAATTGTTCATTTTTTAGTTGCCCAGGGCACCCATTTATAACAGCTTCAGCTGACGGGTTTACCTTGGTTAAATATGTTATCATTATTATTAGTATTAGTATAGGTAATAGCATGATTTGTAGTGATATTTGGCATAAATACCACGAGTGATATTTCAAAATTGTTATACGTAATTTCACGAGCCGTTAGGCGAGTGAAATTTGAGACAATTTTGAAATATCACGAGGGGTATTTATGCCAAATATCTCGTACAAATCCTGCTATTATTTGTTTATACTACTACCTGCCGAAGGTTTGTAATTTTCACATGTAGGTATTTCAAATTAAGCTGAAATACCACTGCTCTAAGCCAATCAAATTGCAGAAATTTCTCTTGTAGTAGTATAATTATTATTATTATTATTATTATTATTATTATTATTATTATTATTAACTGTTTCACATGAAAACGACCGGTCACCATCTGCAAAACCAAAATCAAGAGAGATAGGCTTAAAGCGTTCCGTTATTTGCATGCGTATAAGCCTCAAACTCACTCAGCGAAGACAGGTAGGACCGTCGCGGGGGAAGAAGGGAACCTTCTCTCTTCGAAAACTGCCCCTTAAAAAAGAGACGTCACGAAAACACAAGCGAACTCCTACGTGGCGCCTTGTATCTTTTCTCCATGATCTTCATCCCATGCAATTAATGTTCCTTGACAATTAAAAACAAGTCTTATTTTCTCGTGCAAGGGACAGGGGCAACCAACGACAGCTTTCTGTAAAATGTCTGTTCGGAGAAGCAAAAACTGCCTAGAATTTTCTATACCTTGGGGATGGCTAAGAATTTCTAGATGACCGTTCCATTCATGTACAATTTTCCAAGCTTATCTATAGATGGTTTTCACAGTGACGTCATCAAATTGTAAAGTCAAAATAGCGAGGTTTAACGAATTCCTATTTACACTAGGTTAAAGATAAACAAAAAGTAAATCTTTGTACAAGTTTCCACTCCCGTAGCATGTTTCATTTCGAAAATACAGCAATCTTGATTTTCAGCAGTATAACAATTTCAAGTATTAGAAGATATGTTTATGTGCACGTATGCTAGTTCTCGAGTGAAAATAAAGAGCTTTTATATGTGACAGAGTCATTTTAATAGTTCCTTAAGAGACTTATAGATCGTTTTATTATGTTTTTAGTTACACAGTTGTAGTTTTTTTGCATTCTTTTGGCTTATTTTGCAATTCTGTAGACGTGAGTAGATCGCTTTACGCTTACTGTCTAGAAAGGTCACCATCCCTATTGTTTAGTCAAATTCCCTGTTCAGTTACTAGGTTTAATCACGTATTTTTGTAGTTTTACTTACTTACCTTTTAGGTATGATTAGGTTTGGTATTTTACTAGGTTTGTTTTTCCTGTGCGTAGTTTTTGCTATCGTGTTTTATCGTTTCTCTTTTCAACACCTATTATTTGCAAGGCGTGACTTGAGCGTTTATTTTAATCCCTTGAGAATCAGGATGTGATGTATCTGTTTTATGCTTTTGACTCGTTTCCTGTCACATAAGTATCTGTTTACTTGCGTATAAATACAAGTACGTTTGCCTAGTCGCCTAGTTTCGTCGAGTTGAGTTAGCTCGGCTATTAAGCTTTGGTATTTAGCTGTGGAGCTTAACTCCCCAGAAGGTCTTCGAAGGTCTCGACCTCTGGTAATTTTTGCGTAACATTTCCTTACTTCGTTTTGTCATTAGTTTTGTTTGTAATTAGGTTTTCGTTTTTCTTTTGTATTAAACATTCATTTAAGCCCACTCCTTGCATCCAAAGGATTCATGTCGTTGTGCTACTGCTCTTTGGCCTCCGGCCGTTGGCGGCGTTGAACCGCTCGCGCCGCTCGGTTACATATAGAAAAAGTAAACTCCAGATGTTTTTGTTGATTTCCGGCGGCCATATTTATGGCGTCTCCATACAAAGCTCTACAAAGGTGCGTGAAACGTTTCGGCAAATAACTCAGAAACTGTGGGCCAAAAAGACCTGAGACTTGGACAAATTGTTTAAAAATTAGTCTTTTATAACATATCATTTTCTTGGCTTCTTCCACGGGACGGTGTCCAATTTATTATTTTGTTGCGTGACAATGAAAGCGATCTATTATATTCCCTACGATTTTCTCAAGTCTAATTTTTCGCATTTTTCTCGCCCAGATTAAGCTATTTTTCGCAGAAAAAGGAAACCTAAAATTTTTGGGTTCGAAAAGCGATGGAAAGAGGGATCTGAAAAATTCTCACTTTCGTAAAACTTTAAATTGCGTCTTAAATTTTCGGGAAAATATTACTGAAGCCCTGGTAATTTCGAAAAGACTCAAGTTGCCCTAGGATGACCGAACAGATATAAATTTTATAGCGCCGATTAGAATGTATTTTTAAAGGTCTAAAAGTACTCTGAATAGCCTGAAAAGGTTTTTCAATGCATTTAGGAGGAAACCGTCGTTCGCTGCCCCTAGGGAGTCAACTTTGCACTGGAGAAACACGACGGACAATGTTTTCACGAATTGTGAAATTGATTGGAGAATGAATCGCCATTTATAAAGGATACAGTATTCATTCCACCTGCTCTGAGCGCTCAGTGTTATTGCTTCTAGAACACTTCATCCTACCCCGTTCAAGTCTCTTGTCTCCTATTCCGGCTTCTCATGTTTCCCTACTCTTTCCACTTGGTCTTTCTTAAACGTTTTTCCTCCAGTCAGCCACAGCGCCATAAATCGTCAGTCATCATGTGACTGTGGACAAGAATTGGTCATAGCGTTTTGTACAATTTTTGGTTTGTTTTTGTTGTGGTTGTTTTCTTTAATTTTTTCAAATGTGAAACATTTTTCCAGAGGTACGCACAATTATCCACGATAATCCTTTTGAGCCTTATTTTCATTTTTTGACTTCTCAACAATAGAAACATTCATTACAACTTTACTTACAATACTATAAAATTTAAAAAACAGACAGTTAAGCCTAAACTAGTTCAAAGACAAGTATCTTTCAAGGCATCGGTAATTAAAGGTAATTAAAGCTTTTTTTACAAGTGAGGTGAGCTTTGTTAAGTATTCTAACGCTTGGGAGAGGGGATTTCCTCTGTGTCTGTGTGTTTTTGTCCCCTTCCTTGCCTGGGATCCCTCACCAGGGGATCAGGGCTAATGTTGGGTGAATTATGCGTAAGAATCCAATCTCTGTATTCAGTACTTGTTATGAAAGATTGCGATAAACTGATCTATGTTAACTTTCGCTAAAAAACACATTTATATATGAAATTACTTTACGTACATTTCAAAGTTTTTATATTATTGTCTTTATCTTTGTAGATTATCTCCCTTTACAATAGTTGATTGTTCGACGACAGTTTGGTATCCTACTTTCTAACATACCGTACGATACTGTATTTTTAAAAGGTTATTATCCTCGCAATGGCTACATTTTCGTTGGAGCAACTGAACTTTTTTAAGTTTTCCTCTGTCGTACTTGATGAATTTCCAATCGCCCTCCGCCAAGTTTTTGTTCACATGTGGGACAATCAAGTCGCTCCTACACCAGGCTTTCAAAAATGGGACGACTCACCTCTGATTCGCAACATGTTTCTCAGTAAAGAGGGTGGAAAGACAAAATATGTTCCAACCGCTAAATCATATCATGCGTGGGACTGCACAGCGCTGTTTGAAGCCACTCTCTATGCTCAGAGCTTTGCCATTCCGGACGGAAGTGGAGGCCTTTCAACTTTGAACAAATTGTACGTGAAGCCCCGTCATTTACCAAGTGGAACATTTCACCCTGTCGTTTCAATTCCTGGAAACGAAGCCGAGACGTTTGCGTTAGCGTTAGATCAGCTTCGTCTCCTGAGAAACGCACTGTGTCACCAGACAAGCACCCAAAAGATTGACAAGACAACTTTTGATTATTATATAAAATTAGCAAGAGAGGCATTAACTGCACTTAAACAAGACACAACCAGGATTGATAAGATCGGGAAGCTTGAAGAAGAAGACTTTCCTACTGCCAGGCTTCAGAAGTTAGAAGCAGAGTTGAAGAAAGAAAAAGATATTGCCGTCAAGTTTAAGCAAATCAATGATCACCTCAACCAAATCGAGAGTCAAATTAAAACTGTACGATCAGACGTAAAAACATCAGTAACAGATGTGCAGACAAAAGTGGAAGAAGTCAGGTCAGACGTCAAAACAGCAGTAACAGATGTGCAGACAAAAGTGGAAGAAGTCAGGTCAGACGTAAAAACATCAGTAACAGATGTACAGACAAAAGTGGAAGAAGTCACGTCAGACGTCAAAACAGCAGTAACAGATGTACAGACAAAAGTGGAAGAAGTCACGTCAGACGTCAAAACAGCAGTAACAGATGTACAGACAAAAGTGGAAGAAGTCACGTCAGACGTCAAAACAGCAGTAACAGATGTACAGACAAAAGTGGAAGAAGTCACGTCAGACGTCAAAACAGCAGTAACAGATGTACAGACAAAAGTGGAAGAAGTCAAGTCAGATGTACAAACGGCAGTAACAGATGTACAGACGAAAGTAGAAGAAGTGAAAACGGCAGCAACAGAAGTCCAGACAAAATTGGAAAATGTCGAATCAGAGGTGAAAATTGCAACAAGTGAGCTAGCGAAAATAAAAGCAAACGTCGATGACGTCAAACAAGCAGTTCAGTCCGGAATCACCAAAGGTATGTAAAACGTTGGTTTCTTTGCAAAACACTGGCTGATCCGTCATTCATCTTCCTTGGTTAGGAACTGCCTTGCTAGTTGCGTATGTGAAGGTTCCCAAAGCAAATTCCTATTCATATTTTTATAATGGACAGTTGTTGGCAAGGTAATTCCACGTCTATTTAACATTGATTTATATTAAGATTTAGCGATATATCGCTATGGTGAGGCAGTAAATCCAGTACATTTACCATAAAATAACAATCGGTTACACACACAGATTGTGTGAGCCCCCTGTGCCTGAATTAACGATACCATAGGCCCGGCGTAGTCAATCGAACGAAACCGAACCAAAAATCAATCGAACACAATCCGTCGGATTGTTGTTCGATTGTTTCTGTAATCGAACATAATCGAACTGGAACTTTTCGGTGAGTTCGATTACCGAGCTCAATCGAACCAATCGAACTCAATCGATGCGACTAGTTCGATTTTGTTCGGCAGAAAGACAAAACGCAGCCAGTTTTAATTGAATCGGAAAGATCATCCCTCTGGGATGTATGTGCAGCAGTTTGAAAACAAAAAATATTTCAATTAACCCGGACCTAACTAAATCTTTATTGTTAAAGTTATTAGAAATCGCTAAATTCACAACTAACACTGGAAAACATGAATGGCACAGTAAAACCACGTAAAGCGTCTTTCCCAGGACAATACCGACTGGGTGCTAAACACAAGCAACAGTGTATAGCATATACAAAATAGTCACTACTACCAGTGTTCTCATTACCTCAAAGTAAATGTCCATTAAAACTACAAGCGGCGTCTGTAAAAAGCTGTTGCACAACAGAAGCAATACAAGCTTACCTTATGGCGCTACAATGCTTCATTAAAAGAAAAAGAAATCCAACATCGACGGCCAAAGAGCACTGTCACGTTTTCTGCCCTCTGTAACATCTTTGCGTACTCGTGTTTGAAATTGAAGCCAATTGATACATAACTTATTTGAACGCAAAGCCTTGTTTGAAACCAGATGAAACTGGTTTATGTGCGATTGTTGCAGTGTTCGATTAGGTTCGATTGTTGAAGTCTCCCATTTCCGAACGCTCGATTGTGTTCGATTGGCAAAATTTTGGGGAGAGTTCGATTAAGTTCAATTACCGACCCCAGTCGAAGACAATCGAACGACTGGAGTTCGATTGGGTTCGATTACCGAACGTTCGATTGACCACGCCGGGCATTGGGAACTCACGCTCTTATTTGTAAACTGCAAATGAAAATTATATGCCGGATAAAAACTTATCTGTGGAGTGTTCAGTTCTTGAATCTGCTGCGAAGCAGAGTGAAATTGAAATTGCCGTACGATGCAAAAAACGAATGTTACGATGTTTGCGTCAGCGCTTTGTCCGTAAATTTCCCAATGCTTTATTTTATGTGGTTTGTCTTGCATATCACTGTTGGGTCACTTGGTTGTCATTATCGTCTCGCGTTTCACTGTTGGTTCATTAATTAACGTACAGTAATTAGCGCGCGTTGTCAATAAATTAATAACCAACAGTGAAAAGCAAGATGATAATAACAACCAAGTGACATCAACAGTGAAATGCGAGACAAACCACATAAAATAAAGCATTGTGAAATTTACGGACAAAGCTCCAACACAAACATCGTTTTTGCATCGTAGAAACAACTTCCATGTCACATTTCTCCGCAACAGATTCAAGAACAGAACAGGTAAGTTTTTATCTCTAATTTAATTTCCATTTGCAGTTTACAAATAAGAGCGTGGGTTACCTATGCAATGCCAGCAACACCAGCAAAACTGCCCTCGAACAAACGCCGCACCCAACCAGAAGAATGCAGCGTTTATCCGAGTTTTATACGCAAATATCTCGGTACAACCTTTAAACCTACACCAGTAGCAGTTACGAATCTGTCTCAGCAAAAAAGCGACACATCGAAACCTTTTACAAACATACCCATCTTTCTGTTTTGCATAATATTTATTTATTTAGTTTTCGTCGCAGGGTCCACAGGTTGCAAAATATACGCTTGAATACAATTTATTTACATATGTTATTTATTTTCTTTTGAGTAAGGGAGATCGAGAACACGACTGTGATGAGGAACGAGGGAGGAAGCCCCAATCTCTCCTCCTTTTTGCCATGCTGATTAATTTGCATAATTTCACTTTTTCGCTCGCGCCGCGCGTGGCAAGAAGGACTACCGTTCGCAGTCTGCTTATATGATTTGTTTTCCCAATGTACGTCACGTGATTTTACTCTAAAGAACTGTGTCTTCTAATTTTCTTCTTCTTCACACGCATGATGATGTATTTAAGGTGACTCGACCCAGTTTTTTTAGGGGGAGTACCATCCTACTTTGAAGCTCTCTGGTATCCCCACCTTTACTTTTATCGTAAGTCTAACACATAGAATGGATAACATATAGATCAATCTACAATATAACATAAAATTTTTGGCGATCGGAGTAAATGTCACGTGGTTATAATGCCACGCCCCTTTGAGGTCTGAGTCGAAAATCGGCTGTTGCTGGCATTTTTTTGTGAAAATCTCTCGGCTACACATAGTGCGCATTAGTGCCTTGCGCTGAACAGAGTTTCACCAAAACCGCAAAGACCCAATTCGAGAAATTCAGTGGTTTCCAAATTTAGGTCATAATTCATGCGAAAATGATAAGCAAACTTTATACGGATTATATATAATAAACTATGAGATTCATCTCTTTATTTTGGGTATCGTTATAACAGATGGGTCCTTGCAAGTCAGCAAAACGCTTTAGGGCCTTGTAAATGCGCGCGATTTCGAGCAAAGCAAACATATAGAAATTATAGTTTTCGCTATTTGTTGACGTTTGTCAGCGTTTGAGAGTCCTTCTCACGAAAAAAGCATTTTCTTAAAAATTCGTAGTTTTTTTTCCTTCAAATTTTTTCAGGGCCACAATAGATTAACTAACTACCCGGACTCTGAATTTCATGGTCATTGAAAAACTGTGACGGTCATTACACGCGTGCTGAACAAGAATGCTGTATCATGACAGACTAGAAACAATAGACAACTCCCAAAGCACAAACTCAGCCAAAACGCTAAAAATCTTCAATGTTTACTCAATTTTGGGCTTATTAATTATAGAAGATAATGTCACAGTTTTTCAATGACCATGAAATTCAGAGTCCGGGTAGTTAGTTAATCAATTGTGGCCCTGAAAAAATTTGAAGAAAAAAAAATTTGAAAAAAAATTTGAAAAAAATGCCAGCAACAGCCGATTTTCGACTCAGACCTCAAAGGGGCGTGGTATTATAACCACGTGACATTTACTCCGATCGCCAAAAATTTTATGTTATATTGTAGATTGATCTATATGTTATCCATTCTATGTGTTAGACTTACGATAAAAGTAAAGGTGGGGATACCAGAGAGCTTCAAAGTAGGATGGTACGCCCCCCAAAAAACTGGGTCATCGAGTCACCTTAAAGAGAAGAAACAAATTCCCTTGAAAAATCACATTATCTACAATGGGGAACAATATAAATGCTAAAAAAGACCTTTTATAAAAGGATGACTGTACAGCTGTAGACGACTGAACGTTCACCCTAGCCTGGAGCGTATAACTCAGTCTTCTCAATACTATTGTTAATTACAACTACAAAGTTCTGATTATTCTCTGCAATGTAATTTGTTTGTGGTCTCTTCAGATTTATTTGTGCCCGACTCCTCCATACCTGATGAATTACCAAATTTTGTTGGCCGCGACAAAGAATGCAAAGCAATAGAACATCATTTAACAGATGAAGTTACTCGACTGGTTAATGTCTGGGGTCCACCTGGATTTGGAAAAACATCAGTGGCCATCAGGGTGGCGCATCACTTACAAGAGAAGAATTTTCCAGTTTACTTCGCTTCCGTTCGTGGAGTGGAAAGTATGGAGGATTTAGTGTCAAAGCTGCTCAGGATGTTCGTAGACGATAAACAAGTGCACCATATTGCCTCGTCTGACCTCGTCATTCAATGTTTACAGCAAATTCGAAATCCTTTGGTCTTAATATTAGATAACGCCGATGATTTATTAGAATCTGAAGATGCTAAACGGAAACAGCACGTGCTCCGATTCATTGAGGAGATCCTTACTCACTGCAAACACATGAAGCTTCTCTTAACTACTCGCGAAAGTCTCGACTACTTAAGCCACAAGCTTCCCATCTTTTTGGAGAAAATTAACGTATTGGATGAAATTTCGTCAGCGCATCTGGTAAGGCTGTTGTTACCGGATGCATCTGAAGGTGACTGCAAATACGTAGTGAAGGAATGTGGAAACGTTCCTATGTCCATGCGACTAATGTGCAGCATCATTAAGGAAGCAAACATATCCATAAATTTGCTTTTAGATGAACTAAACAATTCAACTATAGTTGAAGTTTTGAATAGTGAAAGCGTTCCTGACGATTTCCGGCTGAAATCTGTAATTAACACATCGTTTAAAAGGCTCATGATTCGCGAAAGAGACGCGTTTGTTTCGCTTTCTGTTTTTCCTGAGTGGTTTGGAATAGAGGAAGCTCAAGCCATATTGAATGTAAAATCGGAGGTTAAAACCAAACAAATCATTCGATCATTGGAGAGAAAGTCCCTTATACATTGTGGAGAAAATTTTAGCCGTTTTACGATCCATTCACTTTTACGGTCCTTTATTAAGGAGGAAGTAAAGAATGACGAAGCGGTTGAAGCTGTATTTCTAGATGCACAGCTTCAGTTTTACGACTATTACATTTCTAGGTGCAAAGTTGCTAATAAAAACTTTCTGATAGGACGCTATACAAACGCCTTCAGAAGCTTCCTTGACCAGCGTGAGTGCATCATTTCATCCCTTTCTAATGGACCTGGAAATGACAGGACCTACAACAAGGTTGTAGACTTGTTATCTGAGGCAAAATCATTTCTCTATGTTGCACTGCATGGTGAAAAAATGTTATTTGAGCGCCTTTATGACATAGCAATAGAAGAAGCAAAAAGAAGAAAAAAGGTCGGCGACCAAAAAATGTTACTCTCTGCCAAAGAATTTCCTCTTCGTAAGTGGTATCAGCCAGACACTGCTAAAAGCTACTTCTGGCTTGGTAGAGCGCAGCGTGAAGCGGGAGATCTGACAACAGCATTGGAGTCTCTACAGTTAAGCTTACGATTAAGAAAAGAACTGTTAGGAGATCATCCTGATACAGCCGAAGCCTTTCATGAGCAAGGCGTTATCCATACTTTTATGGGTGATTACAAGTCAGCTGTTGAGGCATTCCAAAAGGCAACAGATATAAATTTAAATTTCCACGGAGATCACATATTTACAGCACACAGCTACCACAGCCTTGGTGTAGCGCGGCATAACATGGCAGACTTAACAGGAGCATTGGATTCGTTTCAAAGAGCAGCAAACATGAGATCAAAGCTGCTTTGTGATCACGAAGACACTGCAAGCAGCAACTACAAGATTGGTTTAGTGCAGCGTGACATGGGAGACCTTAAAGGGGCTATGGATTCTTTACGAAGAGCAGCAAACATGAGATTGAATCTGCTTGGTGATCACAAAGACACTGCGGACAGCTACCACTCTCTTGGTTTAGTGCAGCATAACATGGGAGACCTTAAAGGAGCTATGGATTCTTTACAAAGAGCAGCAAACCTGAGATCAAAGCTGCTTGGTGATCACGAAGACACTGCAAGCAGCAACTACAAGATTGGTTTAGTGCAGCGTGACATGGGAGACCTTAAAGGGGCTATGGATTCTTTACGAAGAGCAGCAAACATGAGATTGAATCTGCTTGGTGATCACAAAGACACTGCGGACAGCTACCACTCTCTTGGTTTAGTGCAGCATAACATGGGAGACCTTAAAGGAGCGATGGATTCTTTACAAAGAGCAGCAAACCTGAGATCAAATGTGCTTGGTGATCACATATACACGGCGTACAGCTATTACTGGCTTGGTAAAGTACAGCGTAAAGAGGGAGATCTGACAACAGCATTGGAGTCGGTACAGTTGAGCTTACGATTAAGAAAAGAACTGTTAGGAGATCATCCTGATACAGCCGAAAGCTTTCATGAGCAAGGCATTATCCATCTTGCAATGAATGACAACAAGTCAGCTGTTGAAGTATTCCAGAAAGCGGCAGACATAAATTTATCTTTGCGTGGAGGTCACAAATTAACGGCACACAGCTACCACAGCCTTGGTGTGGCGCAGGGACGGATAGGGGACCGTGAAGGAGCTTTAGATTCTTTACAAAGAGCAGCAAACATGAGATTGAATCTGCTTGGTGATCACGAACATACTGCAAACAGCTACTACTCTCTTGGTTTACTGCAGCGTGACATAGGAGACCTTAAAGGGGCTATGGATTCTTTACAAAGAGCAGCAAACATGAGATTGAATCTGCTTGGTGATCACGAACATACTGCAAACAGCTACTGCTCTCTTGGTTTACTGCAGCGTGACATGGGAGACCTTAAAGGGGCTATGGATTCTTTACAAAGAGCAGCAAACATGAGATTGAATCTACTTGGTGATCACGAAGACACGGCGTACAGCTACTACAGGCTTGGTCAAGTGCAGCGTGACATGGGAGACCTTAAAGGAGCTATGGATTCTTTACAAAGAGCAGCAAACATGAGATTGAATCTGCTTGGTGATCACGAAGACACTGCGGACAGCTACCACTCTCTTGGTTTAGTGCAGCGTAACATGGGAGACCTTAAAGGAGCGATGGATTCTTTACAAAGAGCAGCAAACCTGAGATCAAATGTGCTTGGTGATCACATATACACGGCGTACAGCTATTACTGGCTTGGTAAAGTACAGCGTGAAGAGGGAGATCTGACAACAGCATTGGAGTCGGTACAGTTGAGCTTACGATTAAGAAAAGAACTGATAGGAGATCATCCTGATACAGCCGAAGGCTTTCATGAGCAAGGCATTATCCATTATGCAATGAATGACAACAAGTCAGCTATTGAAGCATTCCAGAAAGCGGCAGACATAAATTTATCTTTGCGTGGAGGTCACAAATTAACGGCACACAGCTACCACAGCCTTGGTGTGGCGCAGGAACGGATAGGGGACCGTGAAGGAGCTTTAGATTCTTTACAAAGAGCAGCAAACATGAGATTGAATCTGCTTGGTGATCACAAACATACTGCAAACAGCTACTACTCTCTTGGTTTACTGCAGCGTGACATGGGAGACCTTAAAGGGGCTATGGATTCTTTACAAAGAGCAGCAAACATGAGATTGAATCTGCTTGGTGATCACGAACATACTGCAAACAGCTACTGCTCTCTTGGTTTACTGCAGCGTGACATGGGAGACCTTAAAGGAGCTATGGATTCTTTACAAAGAGCAGCAAACATGGAATCAAATCTGCTTGGTGATCACGAAGACACGGCGAACAGCTACTATTTCCTTGGTTTAGTGCAGCATGACACGGGAGACCTTAAAGGAGCTATGGATTCTTTACAAAGAGCAGCAACCATGAGATCAAATCTGCTTGGTGATCACGAAGACACTGCGTCCAGCTACTACTGGCTTGGTCAAGTGCAGCGTGACATGGGAGACCTTAAAGGAGCTATGGATTCTTTACAAAGGGCAGCAAACATGGAATCAAATCTGCTTGGTGATCACGAAGACACGGCGAACAGCTACTATTTCCTTGGTTTAGTGCAGCATCACACGGGAGACCTTAAAGGAGCTATGGATTCTTTACAAAGAGCAGCAAACATGAGATTAAGTGTGCTTGGTGATCACAAGGACACAGCTTCCAGCTTCTTTAACCTTAGTGTGGTGCAAAAGGAAGAGGGAGACCTGAAAAGCGCTTTGGAGTCTGTACAGGTCAGCTTACGAATGACGAAGGAACTTCTAGGAGATCATCTCAATACAGCCGACAGCTTTTATGAACAAGGTTTTATCCATTTTGCCATGGGCGATTTTAACTTAGCTGTTGAGTCATTTCAGAAAGCAGCAGATATGAATTTCAATCTCCGCAGAGATCACATTAACACAGCAAGCAACTACCACAGCCTCGGTGTGGCGCAGGTTGAAATACAGGACTGCAAAGGAGCCTTAGACTCCTTACAAAAGGCAATACAGATTAAATCACATCTACTTGGCGATCACGAGGACACGGCGTCCAGCTACCACGAGCTTGGAGTGGTGCAACATGACATGGGAGACCTTAAAGGAGCTTTGGACTCTTTACAAAAAGCAGCAAACATGAGATCGAATCTGCTTGGTGATCACAAAAACACTGCCAGCAGCTACCATGAGCTTGGTGTTGTGCAACATGGAATGGGAGACTTGAAAGGAGCATTGGAATCTTTACAAAAAGCATTAGACATGAGAACGTATCTGTTGGGTGATCACAGAGATACGATTAGCAGCTTGAATGAATTACGTGCTGTGCGGAAAAAACTGACATGAGGGCGTTCTATATTTGGCAAAGAATTTCCGCGGAAAAACCGACACGAAAAATAACGACAAGTTATAAAATAAACGGGAGGTATTAAGAACAAAGTTTTGATACATCATAACTATTAGCGGCGAAACAGATAGATGGCCAGTAAAATTGACCCAGGAGCGCTCAACCAACATATATTCTTGTCAAAGCGTTTTGTGAAACTTGCTAAATTTTAGATTAATTATTATCCTGGAATTCGCACTACTAGAGGTGTCGCAGAAACTAGTCGGCTTAAAAAGCAGTATTGCAACGATATTTTTTAAATATTTGTTTTAGTAGTTTTACAATTTTAGATAGCTTTTACTGCTCTTTGCAACTGCTTGTAAATCGGCATTAAAAACCTCTATTGGGATATGTTAAAATAAACTTCTTGTATTGTTTTGGTATATTATACGAAAGATGCTAAAGGATAACTCAAACACTTCAGGCCATATTTGGTGCTATTCACCCTGGATAAAGTAAAGTGTCCGTATTAAGCGGGTGTTTGTACTAGCTGACTCGCAGGAAAAAAACGTCACGGACCCCATTTTTATCGATATGAAGACAAAATCAGACATTTTCACGAGAAAATTTTGTTTAATTTCTCAGCTGTAACTGTAACAAGAAAGAAAGAAACCTCGCGACCTTTTATCATGATCTTGGATTATCATTACCTAGGCATTGTTCTTGAAACACGACTATGGAATCCGCTCCCCTACTTTGTACCAACGGTTTTAGTTTGCGACTCAACCAGGTGGACTGAATATTACAGAGAACCGACTTTGAAAGGTCATTCCTTTTTTCTTTTAAATTTTCACCGGTATATTCAATTATATACAGTTCGCAGATGAACCGTGTCCGCACAGCAGGGTTGACGACATATGGGAATTTGTGATTGGGGTTGCGGACACAGGAAAATGTCCGCTGTCCGAGAAAATATATGAGCTTTCTGTCGAGACAACCGAAATTTTCCGTTATATAAGGGTGTCCGTAGAGAGGGGTTCCACTGTACATTTTCACCCTGCAGATTCTCGTTCTCACGCTAATAATTAAGACGATGCGCGCAGGCGCTCCTCCCTGAAAATAACTGTATGAAGTAACTGATATGTCCTGAAACCAACGGGTTTCTAATGTGCTGTGTTAGCCTAGTAGGATAGAATGTGGAATTGTCCTTGTAAATGAATTGAAGAGTGTAATAAAGATTATAATCCCTGTGCAGCGTAGTTACTTAATGTCAATTTGAAAATTGTAAAATCGACGCTGTTCAAAACAGTCTTAACCGACGTTTCGGCAATGTTGCCTTATTCAGGGTACAAGACTATATAACGAAGAAACGAACTTTTTAATAATATATAGTGTTCTATCCAGAAGTAGGCACCAGTGCCGAAACGTCGGCGTCGATTTTACAATTTTCAAATTAACAATGAATTTATGAGCCCGTTCCCGGCGCTCATTTCCTCAAGCTGGCTGGCGTTTCTAGCCCCACAATATTGTAAGGCTTGGCTGCAACAAAAAGAAAGTTAGGCAAAATAAAGGCGCGATACAGTGCTTCTGTATCCTACAAGGAAAATTTTTGTTTTACCTGTTGAGCGCATTTACTTGTCCTCCTACTTTGTGACGAATATCGGCAATGTGAGCACCACATTTCGGCCTGTTATCTACTGTATGAAAAATAACTCCTATTATATAACTTGATTCGCTTAAGATTGGGAATCAGTTTCAGTTCGCATATATTTAATATTCATATGGGGATTAGTATTTCCCCGCACAAGAGTCTGGTGCTTCTCAGGATTCGCCTTCATCCCGTTTTGCTCAAACAAGTTCACCCGAAAACCGGGAAAATTTTGCTTATGGCATCCGGAACCCCGGGTTTTGGAATCGGGAATACAGCTCATGGAATCCGGAATCCCACTAAGGAACTGTGCAATAATTATCAGGAGGGGGGGGCCTAAAACCAGAGGGGGGGGGGCATTACATAAAATTGCTGCCAAGATAGGGGGGGCTCAAAGTAAAATCACTCATTTGACGGAGGGGGGGGCTTAAGTTTTAGTCGAAATGTAAATAAAATTAAACGCAATAGAAGATTCTCAATACAGGCATCATGATAGACTGTAACAAATATCAACACGAACAGCTGTTAAACGATTATTGAAAATATTCCATCAAAATGAAAAGCAAATTCACAACTGATCAATTGTGATAGCTTAGAAAGACACCGAGCCTTATCATGTTGTAATCACTTGGCTCAGGACACAGATCTCGCTTGAACTCTTAAGATCGGTACATGCATGCGTCAGAGGTTCGCGAACGCCGTTTCGTAGCAAGATAGAGCAATCATTAGACTGTAAAATAAATGTCGCTAGTGCGGATATCTGAAATACGTGTCTATATGCTTTTATACTTAGGGCTTTTTATGGACACTGGTTTAGCCGTCATTAGTATAATTCGATTGTATGATCTTGATATCTCTGCATAATGGCATTCTTAATTTTATAGAATTTTGAACTTTTATTATTGATTGTATCTATTTCCTCTTCTTTTATGTAAGGTTAAGTTACTTCTATTTTTTAGAATTTGTAAATGAATAGTTTTCTCTTTCTTCACTTATTATATATAGGATTGGTTTTGTTCTCTAATGAAGGAATTGTAGATAGTGTTTTGATGAATTGATTAGATTTTTTGTAACAGCAGGTTGATTGTAAATAGGATTTTAATTGAGGTTTTGTATTTAAACCCGTCTTCTAATTAATTGAGCTGATCCTATGTAAAGCAAAAATCATGAACTTGTTTTTCAGCTTCCCCCATAAAACGATGGGAATCAAACAGATCTCGTAGACAAGCTTTGTCGGTTTTTGATGTGACAAAAAGTAATGTTTCTTCATCGACTGAATCGATTTGCAGAATTCCATTAACAAAGTTCAACAGGCTCTCATCCCAAGGATCTAAATATAATGCAAGCTCTTTTTCGTCTGTTATTTGAAGCGTTCAATCTCCTATTCTTTGATTTTTTTCTCTGCTCCTTTCTCTTTCTGGCTTTAGAAATTTTAGATTTTGAGCCAATGTGGTAAGCACCCCGGTACTTAGCAGATGCTTTGTCTAAATCTTCAATCAAGCGATCAACATCCTTTTCGATACCAGATGTTACATAATAACGTTTGTCATTATTGAAGCTGTGATGGCAGCTCAGTCCAGTTTTGAGTTTACCAGTGTGGTGGGAGGGGGGGGGATGCGACGTTATTTTTAACATAACAGAGGGGGGGTTAGAACTAATTTTTTTGTTTTGGAGGGGGGTACTGTCTAAGTTTTTGCTAGATAACTCTAGTTTTTCAGCCCCCCTCCTGATAATTATTGCACAGTCCCTAACGATTGGAATCCAGAATCCAAGTTCCACTGACAAAGACTGGAATCCAGTACCTGGAATCTGGAATCCACAACGTGGAATCCAGAATCCAAGCCTGTCTTGGATTCCCTCACATGAGGTGAACAAGTGCAGGGTGTTGGCTACGTCCCTATTAAAATGCTCCAACCTGGGGAAAGGGATCTGAAGTGTGAATTTTTGAGTCGTCTGCATAATTCATAAGCTTGCACCTCTCGATAGAAAAGTATAGATCATTCCTAAAAAAATATAGTACTCCAGAAAAATTCCCCAACATTTGAAAAATTGAACGAGATGGAATAAGAGCAATGGAGTTTGAGACTTTTTACCGAGTGACGTTTTAGCCGCCGTCACCGTCGGAGTTGGTTAAGCTCCCGGTTTAAGCTCCCTGATAGCATTAGCCTCCCACGCAGACGTTTTTAGGGGAGCTCGTCTTTCATCCCTTGTAAGGAGACATGAAAGACGACCACCACTAAAAACGTCTGCGTGGGAGGCTACGACAGCATCGAGAGACAAAAAAATTAAAATTTTCGATACGTAAAAACGAAACCAACAAAGATAGGCTATTAGCCTCTCAATCTCACTCAGCGAAGAAGATAAGACGGTCTGTCTTTTGCCCTTTTGTGGGGGGGAGGGGGGTAGCCCTGGCAGTAAGGTCTCGCCCACGTGGCGTCTAGTATTCTAATGGGTAGATGCCCGTTTTCCGTGTTCCTATTACTCCACTTACTCTATGCAATGTCATTTGGAAATTAACACAAATCTAGTTTCCTTAACATAGGAGTTACCTTTCTACTGGAGAAAACTCAGTTTTTTCAAACATTGATCGGAGATTTGGAACAGATATGAAATTACCATGTATAAATTGTACAGTATACTCACCCCACTTGTCCTGAGCGTTGTTACTGCTCCTAGAACACTTCATCCTACTCCATTCAAATCTTGTGTCTCCTTCTTGGCGTCTATTTCCTTACTCTTGCCACTCCTTCTGCCTTCAACTTTCTTCGTCCAGTCGGCAAAAGCACTTTTCCAGTGCTATACTAGCCAACAGTCACAATGTGACCATAGACAAGAATTGGTCATTGACTTTTGTAAGATTTTTGGTTTGTTTTTTTTGTTGTTGTTGTTTTCTTTAATCTTTTCAAATGTGAAACATTTTTTTCTTGTGAATCTGAAGTCATTTTTTACTTTCAATATTTTTCTGCTTCTCTTTTAGGTTGTCTTTTCTTTTTCCCTTTTTCCACCTGAATCTTTTTTTAAGCATCACTTTCTTTTTTACGCATCATCCGGACTTCCCAACAATACAAATTCTCACTACAACTTAACTTACAGAGTACTATAAAATTAAAACAACAGACAGTAAAACCTAAACTAGGTCAAAGACAAGTATTTTTCAATAAAACAATGAGGTTGGTATCATCTGTTAGCCTTTGACTTTGGAGAACGAAGACAGTGCGATTCACAAGAAATCCACACAAGAAATCTTGCTCTTTCAAAGACGATTGGAGTCCACCGAAGTTAACGCTTGATGTTACAATGTTACAGAAAGCTAAGCTCACTTTAGTTACAAGTCTGAAACAGTTAAATCATGACAATTATTTTACAATGCTT